GACAATGAAAGAACTGTACAGTCATGAGTCCAACCAGGAAGTTTTTTATGAATTTTGTAGGCCCTGTTGTAGAGCTTTTCTGCACAAAGAAGAGGAACAAGCTGTAAAAAGGACAAACTGTGTCACCAACAGATGGAAGAGTCAGGGTTTATCAGCAACGTTTACCCAGAGAGCAGTAAGTTCTGAGCCTTCATGAGACCCGGTTCTGAATATTATGGCTGCTCTGTTTTCTTCTGTTCTTTCTAATTCTGCCCTTTGTTGTTTTGCAGTGCTCTTATTTTTCAAAGATATTATTAAACAGCTCGTCAGTTTTTCTTTTTGAAAAACATGTTTTTATTGTAAAAGGTAGGTACTGAATATCTAAAACAAAAAATGTCAAGTTTGGTAAATGTAATAAAAAGTAGGAATATCTCCAGCTACTTCTATTAAATATAGAATATTTTTCATCAGCACTTTTAGCCTAACATTCTTAGCAAACTGGAAAAAACAATAAAAAGATTTTTAAACAGGCTGTAGTGGTTAGCATCGTATGTTCTGCTGCTGAAATATGAAAAGACACTGATTAACTTCTGAAGTCAACCCAGTTTAGGGTTGGGCAATATTGGCAAAAAAATTAATCACGATTAATTTTGTTATTTAGCCGATAACGATTAATTTGAAGATTAATCCCCTGGACACCCTTATGTCCTGGTCACATGACCAATTTAGTGGGAAAGATTTGCTCTTTGTAAAAATCAGTTCCAAATCGTGTCAAAGTTACAGACATTAAATTGTGCTGATAGATAAATAAATTACAGAATTTTTATTTTTTCATCATATATGAAGCAGGGAGCAGCACCGAGTGGACTCTGCCTGGTGGCATTAATCGTATTAATCATCACGTGCCAAAAAATAATMGATTAATGTTTTTCTGACGATTAATTGCACACAATACGATTATGCCCAACCCTAACCCAATTTAAAATGGCCGCCACAGCTAATGGACTTTAACAAACAAAAAACTGGCTACAGCACAGCAGTTTGACAGATCAGGAGCAGCAGCGGAGAGTCATTGGCAACACAACACTACAATGGGTATCAAGTTCTCTGAARGATAGGAAACAGTTTGTACAAGTAAATGATGTAAGATCTGACCTTCGTAACATCACATGTGGAGTTCCACAAGGTTCTGTACTTGGACCAAATTGTTTATTTTGTATGTAAGTGACTTGGTAAATGTGTCGGGACTTTTGAAATGCATTCTGTTTGCAGACGATACATCATTTTTTTGTTTGGGTAAAGACACAGAGCGAATGATGGGGATGATACAGATTGAATTTGTTAAAATACAAACTTGGTTTCATCTCAATAAACTATCATTAAATTTAGATAAAACTAACTATATGATATTTAGTAAAAGAAAGAAAACTATTGATGTTCCATTTAAAGTCGGTGATGTTGAAATTTGTAGAGTCAGTGAAGCAAAGTTTCTGGGTGTTATAGATGAAAAGCTGACATGGAGAGCTCATATAGATAATTTAAGAATAAAAATAGCTAAAACTATCACAGTATTATATAAAGTAAGATAGTTATTTAATGATAAATTGCTGTATATGTTGTATAACGCATTAAATGTTCCACACCTAGTTTTCTGTATAGAAATCTGGGGGAAGGCATGTAAAACGATTACAAATCCCATTTTTCTTTTACAGAAAAGAGCTGTAAGAATTATATCCAGAAAACTTTATAGTCACCCAACTAATACATCGTTTTGTCAGTTGAGGTTATTGAAATTTTATTAGTTGGTAGATTATAATATTTTGCAGGTCATGTATTAGGCTCATAAAAACATATTACCTGTAAATATCCAGTCAAGTCGTGTTAAAAGAGAGAGCAGTTATAACCTTAAGGGGATTGAGATGTTTGTGAAGCCTAAATTTTGAACCAGTTTGAAGGAACGATGTACGTCAATTCAGGGAATAAGATTATGGAATAAACTGGAAAGTGCTGTTAAAAATGCCAGATCAATGTTTCTGTTTAAGAGAATGATTAAAATTGATTTATGAAAGAAATATGAAAAAGAATAATATGTACTCATACAATTTGTTTGAGGAGGATTATTGTTGTTTTTTTATTTTGTTTTTATTACTTAACAGTTAATTTGTTTATCTTTTTTAAGGGGCAGACATTGTAGGACTTTTTTTCTTCTTTCTGCTGGCTTACATTTTATTTTGATATTGTATTTATTGTATGTAAAA